AAAAGCAAAAAAGAAAAAAAAAAAGATATAAAATGCATCCCGCCACCGTCCCGCCACCGCAACCGCCGTCTACGCCGGAAACTCTCGAAATCATAACGCATCTCCTCAGCGACCTTCTCCCATCCACCCTCTCCATCACCTGCTTCGCCGCCAGGTGGCAAGTCCTCCGCTCAAAGCTTGCTTCCCTCAAATCCACCATCTCCGAAATCTCCGACTCCCCTCACTGGTCGGAGAATCCACTCCTCCCGCCGCTCCTCCACGCCCTTCTCTCAACCCTCCGCCGCACCGAAACCCTCCGCCGCCACTGCTCCGACGCTTCCCTCAGCCGCGGCAAGCTCCTGATGCAGTCCGACCTCGATATGGCCGCCGGCTGGCTCTCGAAACAGAGCAACGACCTCGAGCTCCTCCTCCGCTCCGGCGTCCTCCACCAGTCCACCGCCATTGTCCTCTCCCGCCCCAATCCGACCTCCTCGAAAGAGGAATTGGCCTTCTTCGTCAAAGACCTCTTCACCAGACTCCAGATCGGCGGCCTCGAGTTCAAGCGGAAGGCCCTGGATTCGCTAATCCACCTTCTGTCGACCGACGACAAGTCCGCCGCCGTCGTCGCCAGAGAAGGCAACGTCGGCTTCCTAATCTCCCTCCTCGATCTGAACGCCCACGACTCCGTCCGTGAACCGGCGGTTCACGCCGTCTCGCTCCTCGTCTCCGCCGGCGATTCGCCGCGAAAATCCGTCTTCGAGGAAGGCGCCCTAGGCCCCTTGCTGAGGATGATCGAGTCCAGCTCGGCGCCGGTGAAGGAAAAGGCCGCCATGGCCGTCGAATTCATCACCGCCGATCCCGACAACGCCTGGGCAATTTCAGCCTACGGCGGCGTCCCGATTCTGATCGAATTGTGCAAATCCGGCTCCCTCGCAGCCCAATCGCACGCAGTTGGGGCAATTAGGAATATTTCAACAGTCGAAGATATTCGAGTGGCGTTATCCGAAGAAGGCGCGATCCCTGTTCTAATGGAGCTGCTCGTCTCTGGAAACGCAGTAGCTCAAGGAAAAGCAGCCAATTGCATATCGATTCTCGCCTCGAACGGTGAGCATTTTCGTAATTTGTTGTTGCAAGAGAAGGGGTTGCAGAAATTATTAAATTTATTTCACGATTGCCCCAATTCCGACACATTAGAACACGTATTGCGTGCGATTTATTCATTGTCCGCCTCGAATAGCAGCTACCGTGTTTTAAGTGGATCGACGATGTTTATAGTACAATTATCGGACCTTTTAAAGCACGGGAATATAAGATTACAGCATCTTTCCGCTTCTCTGCTTGCTAAATTATCGATTAGTGACAGCACGAAGAATGTTCTTGCGAGTTGTATGGGTTCTTTGGTGAAATTAATGGAATCTGTTAAGCCCGACGGAATTCAAGAAGTTGGGGCGAAGGCGTTGGTCTCGTTGCTATCGGTGAAATCGAATAGGAAAGAGTTTGTGAAGGATGAGAAGAGTTTGATTAGGTTGGTGCAGATGTTGGACCCGAAAAACGAGGTGGTTTCGAAGAAGTTTCCGGTGGCAGTGGTGGCGGCTATAATGGCCGGAGGAAGCCAGGGCTGCCGGAAGAAGCTCGTCGGAGCTGGGGTTTACGGGCATTTGCAGAGGTTGGCGGAGATGGATGTCGCCGGAGCTAAGAAGGCGGTGCAGCGAATCTCCGGGAATAGGCTGACTAGTATATTCTCGAGGACGTGGAGGGAATAATCGGAGTTGTTAATCACCTCCCAGCCAACAAAAAAAGGTAATATTTCTTACCATCGATTTTTACCGATGATTACAATTTAGGAATTGTATATTAGTTGCCCGAGTGGAGAAACTGTTTTATTAGGTGGATTGAGGAACTGGTTCGTAAAATACGAATTTTGGTTAAAAAAGATTCTTTAAATTAATCGTTTCGGAAATATCTCGCAACAATTGATCATGTAGAAAGAATCCAATAAAGATCAGAATATATTATGCTGTCATAACATTTTTTTAATGTGAGCTAAGCACATTTTTTTATGTTAGCTTCATCATCCAATTTTACGAGACTTGGTCGTTTTTCAGAATCGATTTTTTTCTTTTTAATTTTTTTCCTTCATCTTTGCTCACATCCCATTTCCACGGGGGCTCAAAATTCGCATGTCGAAGAATTAAAAAAATCGGGTGTGGTGCCTAGAAAGTCATCGTGTGGACCATAATAGTCGACGTATAGTTAGTATCAAAATGCAAATATTATTTCATTATTACTATAAAAGCAAGTAGTTGGCCTTAATTAACTTTAAAGATATCGTCGAGAAGTTCTTTTATTTATTTATTTGTATGGTGGATTCGATTTTTCGGTTGTATATGTATAGTATAATGTATATATGCCATGTGAAGAGGTTTTGATAAGAGTCCAAATTCCAACTGTTTGGATTGATTTTTGTTTTTATTGATGGATAATGATAATTATGGAGATGTTGTTTTGGTAGGTAACATGTGTTTTTATTTTGCCAGACAACAATGGACCTAAGTTATTTATATATCACATTTTTCGTATCTTCTTGTAATAGCGCGTTAATAGTGAGTTAATAGCGAGTTATGTTGGTTAGAACAATCTTGACGGTGTGGTTTTATTTTCGACTTTTTTTCTTTTCGTGCAGGAGAGAGTAAACGAGCTTTCTGCACAGTGAAAGAAAATACACACCGAACAGTTTGGTATACCTCGAACCTTAACTCATGGTAGTATACTCTATACTGTATTATATCGAAACGAAATACAAAAAAAAAAAAAACGAGGTTGTTTCTAATTTATTCGGCGAAGGCATGGATGCGTTTTTTAGAGAGTATCCTTGTTTTCGGGTTTTTTTTATTTTTTTTATTTTTAAATATGTAACAATTTATTTGATGTGTATTGAGTGAAACATATTGTGTGTTTATCCAATTGTTTTGTGTTTCTTCTTGTGTCTTTTTCATTATGAATTCTTCTGGAACTGGAGTGAAAACTTTTATGATTTTGATTATAGTAAATTACAGCCGCCCTCTGAGGAAATATTAAATTATGAAAAAACCCCTTTTGTTTGAGTAATTACAAGTTACAACCACCCTCATCAACTATGAATCTTTTTACGCGTTCATCCTTATGGTGTCAAATTCAACGTAATATTCTAGATTGTGAGGAATGTTCTCTAGTGTGTACTCATTTTGTGCAAAAAAAATAGTTTATGATGTACGACAATCTGATATTTACAAGCCAATCAATACATTTTATGATCATCTTATTCAAAAATGTGGAGCACAAATGTGATAAAACGGGTACAAATTGGATAATATTTCACTAAATTTGACACAGTAAGAGTGGAGGTGTAAACAAAATTCATAGTTATTAAATACTCAGAATTACTTTGAATAAACAAATTACCATAACAAACTCAAACTTAAAATCCTTTTAATCTCTCTCTCTCTCTCTCTCTCTCTCTCTCTCTCTCTCTCTATATATATATATATATATATATATATATATATATATATATATATATATGTTCCTTTTTTTTTTTTTTTTTCTTGGTATCTACATTTTATCTAAAGTCATTAATTTAAAACAATAATAATGTAAAGTCTTTTTGTTTGTTACTTGCAAAGAATAAGAAATGAGATAAAAAGTAGATGCACTAAGGAGAGGAGGAATCACCGGCTTAGAAACAGGGGAGATAAAGTGGGTTTAAAGGAAGTGTTTGGGGGGCTACAACTTTTGTGTACTTTTTATCATATAGAAATTCCAAGCCTAAGTCAAGTGTGTAAAGGTGACTTAGTTGATGAAATCCGAGAATGTGGTGTCTAATGACCTGAGTTCGATATCTGTCGCACGCAAATCTGAATGAAGTCTAATCACTAGCGAGTGATTAAAATAATTCAAATTTTATCAAACATATGTGATTTGATGTAGTCTAGATGTAGTGCGCTTAGCACTCCGACGATCAATTTAGTTGAAGCAACAGAAGTAAGGAAATATGGAAATAAAGTGTATAGACAATACGTAAATAGTTATATGAAAAATCTTGACCTTCTTTTGCATCCCAAAGCTCTATTTATACGTAGCCTAGGGGTGCGATCATCGTGGGATCCACAACTCACCATCACGGGGAAGCGCATGGAGGTGATGTGGCCTTAAATGTTTGGGGTCGTTCCCTCTAGGCAAGCTACCTTGTTGATCTGCACCTGAATGGTCTAACCAATGCTTACGCGAGCCTAGGTCATCGCTTTTGCTCGCATATAAGTGGCCCTTTCAATCTCAATCGCGGTATAGACTTTTTGCGTACATTTCTGACTTTGGGCCAAAGGAATCACTTCCACCATCTATCCTTGCCCATTTAGGGATGACGATCATTTCGATTGCAGTTGGAGTGATCACCCACTTGGGGCAGTGAAGTACACTTAAACCTCTATAAATTAATACAGTTGGAACTAGAAAAATTCTATTAATTTAGTGAAATATTAAATTATCGAGTAAATAATTTAGCACGTTCTCACTAAGTTGGGACCGGAATGGTTTATTATTTTAGCTTTAGCGAGGTTATTAGTTTATAGAATATTAATTTATCGAGGTTCTGTTGTAAATAGCTTAGGCCATTTCGAATGCTTTGAGAGTCTAATTCAGTTGACCGGGCAAATGAGCCAATGTGATGAATGAAGTTTAAACACTAATAACTTATTAAAATAACTCAAAATTACAAAATCTATCAAAAAACAAATATAGTGAACATATGTGATCTAAAAACTCCATTGATAGATTACTGAAGCTGTGTTTAGGAATTAGGGTTCACTTTTTTCAATTGAGAATATGACTTTATTACTCTTTACATCTTTTTACATGAAATAAAACACAAAAATAATGCATTGACAAAAGAAAAAGGGGTGAAAATAAAATAAATAAAAAGCAACCTTTAAATCATAAAGAGAAACTAACTCTCAAGTCTCAACTGCCCTAAAGAATATTGTCAATTTATAAATCCTTTTTTCGTGGAATATTGCAAAATTTTCTTTGTACAACTTTTGGTGTGAATAGTTAAATAAAATAGGATAAATTACAAATACCCCCTTGAGGTATGGTTAAATTACAAAAATACCCCTCTTGTTTGGATAATTACAACGACCCCCTCAACTCCTCAAACTTAGTGGAATCTTCGAGATTATATGGAATATTATCACTTTTGTACCCGTTTTATCTCATTCGAACCCTACATTATGAAACAAGATGATCATAATATGTGTTTTTTAGCTTGTATATATCAGTTTGCGGTGCATCGAAAACTGTATTTTTACACAAAACGAGTACAAACTAGAGCACATTCCACGGAATCTAGATTATTATGTTGAATTTGGCACCATAAGGGTGGAGGTGTAAGAAAAAATCATAGTTGATGGGGGTAGATGTAATTATCCAAACAAGAGGGATTTTTTCGTAAATTGACCATATTTCAGGGGTGGTTGTAATTTACCCATAAAATATTTCACCACAATCACATTATAATAATTTTTTTTTTTAAGTCCGGAGGAGCAATTCTGTACAGATGGGCGCACGGAAGCAGCCGGATCGTGAGGCCAACAACGTTGCTGACTTGGTCAAACGCAGTTGGACGGCTGTGATCATGGATTGGTCAATAAGTTTGACCGACCAAGCTTCTGTTGTTAATGGGCCAACAAAGAAAAAAGAAAGTCAGGTGGGCTGAATTTAAATGCCAAGCTGGTTTATTTAAAAAGGCCGTGTTGGAAATTTTAACTCTAGCCGAAAATACCCTTCAGCCTTCAAAAGACGATTTTATCCTTGAGGAGATATTTTTTGTTTGAAAATACCCCTGAAGTCGCTCGAAGAATAAACGAATTTATCCGTGGCGAATTTAGAATTTTAGTTAAAGTGTTTGGAGTTTCACGTGTACCCCTTTTATATACAAAATATTAAATTGAGAAAATTCTTCTTGGATGAAATCTCATTTTTCGAAAACTAATTTTCATTTCATCCATATAAATATTGTATAATCTATCTATTTTGTATCGTACAACATCTAAAATGCATCATTTAATATAAGAATACCGATGAATCAATCGATCCTAGCATATAAATTAATTTTCAAATTAATTTTCAATCATATTTTTTTTATTTATGAGAATCAACTATCGATAGCGAACTAACACTATCGACTTTCGATACTTATATTTTCCCAATTTTTTTAGAATTAATAAATCATTGAAATTACTAGATTGTGGTGGATGGTAGTAATGAGGTGTTGTACAACAATGCATAAGAGATTTTTTTTTTGTGAGGATTATTAGCACGAGGTCCCTCAAAAATATTTGGTATCACATAAAGGACATACAACATTTCTCATTTTCCTATAAGTCCTCTAATTGGACATACAACTTAGAAAAACTTTTTTGTAGATCTGAGTTACGTTATGAAGCAAGAGCTCAAATTGAGCGTCATCACTACATGAATAGATGCATACCATAGAACACAAAGAGTTTAGAATAACAATAAAAAGAGAGCTTAATTAAAATAAATTAACGAAAAAAACTTAAATCTCTGATGTCTACATCCCACTAACATAACCAAACACACCACAATCACCACCGTTACTATACAATACGTATGCGCATTTGCATGTGTGGTAGAAAATCGGCGATGGGAGTAGCGGGGAGCGAGGTCGTACATATCCGAACCTTTTTGCAACAGAAATAGATGAGCTGAAAGAGAAGAAGGTGTAATTAATTTTATCCGTAAAAAAAAAAAGAGACTTTTAGAAAATTAATAAAATTGACTGTCCTGATTTAAAAGGATAATATTGTCTATGGTATTTAACAAATTGTCCCATTTTGGGACACATATAAATAGTAATTACAAATTCAAAATTCAATTAATATATAAATAGAAATTTTATGACAATTGCAATAATTCTGATAATACCTTATTTGTAATTTGTTGTCAAAAAAAAAAAAAAAAAAAAGAAAAAAAGAAAAAAAAGATGTCGGAAAAGACAAACTGAAATACAGACAGTGTTTACTCACTCCCCCACCGAATTCTTCCATCCTCATTTCTGTCTCCTTTCTCCACCCCCAAAACCCCCCTATCTAGGGTTTCTGCTTCTCTCTCTCTCTAAAAATTCGGATACAACAGGAGTGAGATTCAGCTTCTAATTCACAGACAGCTAAGCTACCTGATCATCTTCTCTGCTCATTTTTTTTCCAATTTTAATTTCCCAGAACAAAAAAAAAAAAGAAATTAAATTAAAAAAAAAGGCATCTTTTTTGGGTGCTGCTGAGCTGACAAGCAGAAAATAGAAGAAGCGATGGCGAAGACGAAGCCTGGAAAAAAGGACCTCGATTCCTACACTATCAAGGGCACCAACAAAATTGTCAGACGTACGTCTATCTATCTATCTATATATATATATATATATATATATATATATATATATATATATATATATATATATATATATATATATATATATTCATCTTACTATATTTGCTGCTTCTAATTTCCTATGTTTTTGTTTTTGCTACTATGAATCGTCAAATTTGGATTCTGGGTTTTGATTCTTGCGATTGGTTTGTTGCGATAACTTTGGAATTTCAGAATGTGGGAGTAGGAATTGGGTTTTGGAGTGAGATTTAAAGTCGATTTTGCTCGTTTTCTTTCGAGCTGTTAATTGTTATGTGCTTTAAAAAGATGGTGCATTTGTGCTCTCTAGCTTCTTATTTTTGCTTATTTATGCAATTTGAGTCGATACCCACTCGGAGTTGAACGGGTGGATAGTTACATGTTGTGGTAGAAGTTTTTGGTAGCCTGGTTCATTCAGTTCTAACCATGGTTAATCACTGTGTACTATAGGCCATTAGGAAACAAGAAGCCATGGTTAACCGTTTCCACTCGAATTATCACTATTCTCTGCAAATTGATGGTTTTTTTTTTTTTTTTTTTCTTGTGGGTAAATTACGGCCACACCCGATGTAAGGTCAAATTATGAAAACCCCACTCATGTTTGGGTTGTTACAATCATCCCTCAACTATGAATCTTCTTACACGTCCACCTTTATGGTGTCAAATTCAATAGAATCTTTTAGATTTCGTGGAATGTTCTGTAGTTTGTACTCGTTTTGTGCAAAAATGCAGTTTCGGATGCATCACAATATTATATTTACAAGCCTTGAGACACATTTTATGATTATTTTGTTTCAAGATGTGGAGCTCGAATGGGGTAAAACGGGATACAAACTGGAGAATATTCCACATAATTTAGAAGATTCTAGTAAATTTGACACCGCAAAGGTGGACGTGTAAGAAGAAACATAGTTGAGGAAAACATTCGTACTCATAACTCAAGTTGGATAACTCTGAAATAGTTTAAAGGAAAAATCTTTAGTCTATTTCATTTATTGATGATTCGTCTTTACCCCCATTTGTTTGTCTCGTTATAATTCTATTTGGATTCTTTAGTGTGATGCAGGTATCGATACTATATGAGACAATTCAAATGGTGTTTCCTTGTTCTTAGATCCTTTATGCTTATTTCAAATCACTAGATTTAGACATTACTTCGGTACCCAAACATGAGGGGTTTTTTCGTAATTTGATCTTCAATTACCTCAGGAGTCACCGCAATTTACCTCTTTCTTTTTTTTGGGTAATAACGTGTATTTCCACACCACAAATATGCATATTTATCTATAGGTGCCACATGCCGACTAGCGTATATACAGTTAATAATCTGAATTATTGTGCATTTGGATGAGAGGATTTGAGAGAGGGATTTCAAATCCATAATAACATTTGAATTGAGTCGTTCGACAAGAAAGTTCAAATCCATAGCTCTTATTTTCGATTGTATTTTTAAGCAATTGTGGTGAATTTTAAAATCCCTTAACATTTAAATTCTTCAAATCCTTCAGTCCAAACGCAACCTTAACTTTTGTGAATTCTATAAGCTCTACATGCACTTGCGCACGTCAATTCAGGCTGGCCTAAACCTCACAATACGTACATGTCACATAGTTTTAATCAAGATTGAATTTTTTTTTCCGAGCATCTTGGACTAATATATATAACATACGGGGTGCTGCTTTATGTAGCGGGTGATTGTGTTTTGATGAGACCATCCGACACAGACAAAGCTCCGTACGTAGCTAAAGTGGAGAAAATCGACGCCAACCACCGGAACAACGTGAAGGTGCAGGTGAGGTGGTACTACCGCCCGGAGGAATCCATCGGAGGGCGGCGGCAGTTTCACGGTGCTAAGGAGCTTTTCTTGTCGGACCACTACGACATGCAGAGTGCACACACCATTGAAGGCAAGTGCACCGTGCACTCCTTCAAGAACTACACTAAGCTCGAGAATGTCGGTGCGGAGGATTATTTTTGCAGGTTCGAGTACAAGGCTGCTACCGGAGGTTTCACCCCTGACCGTGTTGCTGTGTGAGTATCCCTTTTACGGGTTTTTTTTATTATATATATATATATATATATATATATATATATATATATATATATATATATATATATATATATATATATATATATATATATATATATATATATATATCTAATGTGGGTCGTTAATTTTGGTGTGGTTTTGAAGGTATTGCAAGTGTGAGATGCCGTATAACCCCGACGATCTCATGGTGCAGTGTGAAGGATGTAAGGACTGGTATGATACTTACGATTCTATATAAAAAAGTGATTTTTTTTTACTAAATATTTGCCGTACAATCGGGATGTGAAACACGTGTATCTATTTATTTTCTGTCGATTAGGATTAAGATGCTGTATTGGAAAATCTTCTACGAATATGTGATTCTTTATCTTGCTTAGGTTGCTGGTGTTTTTCTTACATGTTATTGCTGGTAGCTGGCATGCTAAGGCCTTGTTTGGTTGGAAAAATTACGTCTTTATCTTATCTTGGGAACCAAACGAGGCCTAACACCACCCCTCTTACTCATTTTCGTATTTGTAATCATCTGCACGATTCAGTGGTGTTGTGTAAATTGTCATGTTTCTTCCGACTTTATTGAATCATGGTTTGCATCGATATCTATTACCCTTTTTGATAATTTAGTTCCGATCTTGCAAGATAATTGGAATGTTTGGTTACATTTTAAGGGTGCTAGACTGCTAGTTTAAGTCAATCTCAAAAGAGAATCAATTTATTGTTGGGTAAATTATGAAACTCCCCCTGAACTTGGGTTAAATTACAAAAAAACCCCACCTATCCGTAATTACCAGAATCCCCCCGACGTTCGTTTCCATCTTACAACAACCCCTTACGGTGTGATTTTTCATGGAACCTTTTTTATTCCAAGTAATATTTCCCAGAAAATGCTGATTCTACCCCTACAGATGCAGCATTTCTTGATGCTACTTTTTAAAGGCAAAAATTACCCTCAGAGGGGCTTTACATGAAATCTTTACTTACCTTCACAACTTTTTAGTACACCATTACCTATTTGATGGTAATTTTTGTCTTTAAAAAGTAGCATAAAGAAATGTCACGTTTGCAAGGGTAGAATTAATATTTTTCGGAAATATTTACTTGAATAAAAAAGATTCTGCGAAAAATTACACCGTAAGAGGGTTGGTGTAAGACAAAAACAAACGTCGGGGGTATTTTGGTAATTAATGATAGGTTGGGTGTTTTTCATAATTTAGCCTAAGTTTAGGGGGGTTTCGTGATTTACCCTTTATTGTTTACATTCTTATATTATTACCGACTAAAGACTAAGTTACAATTTCACACAATTGTAGAAATAATGGTCATTAGCTATATTTTAAGCTTTGTTTTATAAGGTCTATTTTTTGGTAGCTTATTTAACGCATCTCTCGTTTTTAAGGTTTCATCCTAATTGTATGGGCATGACTATCGAAGAAGCAAAAAAATTGGATCTTTTTATGTGTTCCGATTGTTCGTCCGATGATGATACTAGAAGGTCATTGAACTCACTTCCCGCTTCACCTACCGCTGATGGAAAGGTAATGGATATTTATCCATTTCGATTATTTAATATTTTTAAGTAAAATATTTTTGAAGTAGAATAATCTCGAGTGTGCATTTAAAAAAAAATGAAACAAAGATAGTTACTTTATCAGACATTTAAAAAAAATAAGCACAGGTAAATGGCTGATTTAAATCTCGAATTTGGTAACTATTTGTAGGATGTCGGTCTTACAAACTGATGAAGTTTATTTTGCATGGAAGAATTGAAGTTGATGGCAAGTGAAAAGCTATTGCAAAACGAAAAAAGTCGGCCAGTTGGCATGTTCCTTAAATTCAAGAATCGAGAGCAATTTTCTTTTACATATATATGTTTGCAATTGTAATCGATTTCTTAAATAATATTGTTCATCCGTAACCAATTATTTAACCTTCATAACTTTTGCACTATGTTTTACTTTCATTTGGCGGCCGCAACTTTTCCGACAAACTTAATTTTTCTCGTGCGTAGTGTAGCATCGAGAGTTTCCCCTTTTTGCCCTCGTTATTAGGGGGTGATGATTTTTCGCTGCAAAAGAGGATTGTTTTCCGTAAAATCAAGACGGTCATTAATGATATTTCTTACGAGAAAACGAGGGGCAATTATGACATTTTTTATGGTGACCTTTTAGTGAATTGTTTTCCTTTTTCAAGTTTATTTTTTCCATATTAAAGATTTAGGTCGATCACAATCAAACCTATTTTTGTAATTTAATTTATTTGAAGGATTTCGATTCTAATTTCTTTTCGGAATGGTATATATATTTACGTATTTGATAGTGGTTTGTGTTTGATTTCATCGGCAGGTGGAAACGAAGCGGAGAAAGAGATGACAGATCAGCAATCTTGATGCGGCATCATAAGGTTGTCGTACCCCGTTTTTTTCCCATGCATATTAGCTCCGATATAATATTACTATTGTTGTATTTTTCAAAATTGTACAATGCAGAGAGAGACAATGAGACGGGAGGCGTTTTGTCTGAATTTACGCAGCGTCGTTTATCTACTAATCCCTTGTCTGGATTCGTCAAGACAAACAAGGGAGTCGTGTTAATTCGAACATAATTAACTGTGAGATTAATTTTCTTGTGTTGTTTGCATTTTCGATCCCGTTTTTTTCCCACGCGACGGCATTATTGCTTGTTATGTTGACAGAGTTGTGTAACCTTGTAATAGAAAATTCAGATTTTGTGTAATGAAAAGATAGATTAGATTAGATTAGCTGGCTGGCTGTCTCTCCAACTTAATTGGCTTAGATTTATTTCCATTGTTTTTGCCTTTGAATGCCATATTTGGTTCCATCATTTGTATTAAGAAAAGGTCTTTGGCTAAACTTATAAGCTATCAAAAGAGCTTATAAGTTCTTATAATCTCTTTCAAAATATTTGGTAATTTTCTAAAAGAAATCTTATAAACAAGCAAATAAGATTTTCTATAAAAGGTACCCTATCAAATCTTTTTATTCAAGATTCTATAATGAGTAAAAATAGGTTATAAATTTATCATCCAAACATTTAAAAAATAAACATTTTAAAAACTATTTTTAAAAGTAAGTTGTAACAACTTATCAACACTTGAAACAATTTATCACTTGTTAAAATAAGCTTATCCAAATTATATATACTAATCAATTAACATCTCTACAACTTTTTAATCATTTTTCACGACATCAAGTAATTACCATAATGCCACTACGTGTGATTTCACCTATCGGCTGTTTAAAAGAAGCTTAGCCACCCCAACGATATATACTTTTGATGAATCATGTATTAACTTTTGGAATCTTCATATTTTCTAGATTAACATTTTTTTTTCAAAAAAAAGAAACTAATGTATACACACACACACACACACACACACATATTTTATATGTATATATATATATATATATATATATATATATATATATATATATATAAAATAGGAACAAAATTTGAGGTAAACAAAAAAATAATATTATAATATAAATTGTTTTTTAAATCCAGAGCTTTTCATGCCATTAGGTCTCCTTTACACCCCCTTCGAGTTTCGCTCTCTGTTCCCTTCTTCCCAAAATTAGGGTTTTCAATTTCATGTGTTGAAAACCCAAAAAAATTTCCTCACTCCTCTCTCCAATTTAGGGTTTTCCATGCATTCCTCTCTCTGAATCTCGCGCTTCGAGGCATCTTTCGATAAAGCGATCGAACAGTAATTCCGCGGCTACATTCTTATATATCTCAGTTGCTCCGCCTCATTTTTTTTTTTCCGATTTGGTGCGAAGCTGTTTGGCTAAATTACTGCCATCAATGCGGAGGTAATCAGCTTTATCTGATTTTGATCCATCGTTTTTTGTTCCATGTAATTACGTTTTGCGCACGCTTATCATGGCCTCAATGCTTGTAGAAATGCGGTAAAGCTTTTGATTCTGTGTTCGTGTCGAAATCGAAATATTTGTTCAGTGTAGTTTCGGGCCTTTGGGCTCTGATTTTGTGTTGAAATGATTAAGCAAATATTCGGAAAGATTCCGCGAAAGCAATCTTCGAAGTTATCCCAGTACGATTCGAACAACAATGGCGTCTCGTCTTTCCCCCCTGGCAATTCAAATTCATCTTTGGGCAATTTGGGTCCGTCTCGGCCCACTAGCAACGGGACGTACTCTTCGACGATATCGGGAACTCAAGCGGGGCCCACAATGGCAAATTATGTGGCTGTTTGCGAGGCTTTGCCGAGTTTGAGGGATGTTCCGAGCTCAGAAAGGCAGAATCTTTTTATCAAAAAGCTGACCATGTGTACTGTAGTGTTTGATTTCACCGACCCGGCAACGAATTTGAATGAAAAGGATGTCAAGAGAAAGATCCTGCTTGAGTTGGTCGACTATTTATCTTCGGTGAATTCGAAGTTCAGCGAGGTTGCCATGCAGGAAATGACGAAAATGGTCTCGGCTAATCTTTTTAGAGCGCTGCCTTCGTCTAATAAGCTCTCGGGTGATGTGTACGACCCCGAAGAAGATGAGCCGACTGTGGAACCTTCTTGGCCACATATTCAGATCGCGTACGAGTTCTTATTGAGATTTGTGTCTTCGTCAGAGACAGATGCTAAGCTTGCTAAAAGATACATCGACCACTCGTTCGTGCTGAGATTGCTGGATCTTTTTGATTCGGAGGATCACAGAGAGAGGGAGTACTTGAAGATGATTCTACATCGCGTGTATGGAAAATTTATGGTGCACAGGCCGTTTATTAGGAAAGCGATCAACAATATCTTCCATAATTTCATTTTCGAGACGGAGAAGCACAACGGGATTGCGGAATTGCTGGAGATTTTGGGAAGTATAATTAATGGGTTCGCTTTGCCTTTAAAAGAAGAGCATAAACTCTTTCTTGTCCACGCTCTGATTCCCCTTCACAAACCAAAGTGCGTGTCTGCATATCATCAGCAGTTATCTTATTGTATAACTCAGTTTGTGGAGAAAGATTTTAAGCTGGCTGACACTGTTATCCGTGGTCTTTTGAAGTACTGGCCTTTAACTAATAGTTCGAAGGAGGTTATGTTTATCAGTGAAATGGAGGAAGTCCTCGAAGCGACACAGGCTGCTGAATTTCAACGCTGCATGGTTCCTTTGTTCCGTCAAATTGGTCGCTGTATTAATAGCTCGCATTTTCAGGTATGGTATTCAAACTTCAATTTCATCGCCTTTATGGATTCGATATATTTTTACCAAATTGAAGGCATAACACGTGGCGGTTGGCGTTCCAATTGCTTCTGTTCTATTTGAATTTTTTTTTTCAATCTTCCATTTTCATCTTATTTCGGTTTATATTTGTTTCATGATTTGACTGCTTGTTGGTTGCATAAGATTTGTTTGTTTATATGAACGAGGGAGGAAGAAATTAAAGGAAAATATGAACGGTGAACCCCTTTTTAGAATTATCTTGCAAAGATGTAGATTCCACTATGTAACTAAGCAGGAAGCTTTGATGTATAACTTACTCACCAAATACTTATTCGGAATAAGAAAAACCATACACGCAAGTTATCGATATTTTTGCAGAAACACATAAAGCTTCCTCTTTAAAGCCTCCTTGCTGTGGATGAATATCGTCTCCTCTCTTATGTTTGATGCTCGTTTTAACGACGAATGGGAAATAAATATGAAAACCTTTACGTGGAACACTTTGGTTGGTTATGCTTGATGTGGTTGACTTTTAAGTAAATGTCTTATTTTGTGGTTTCTTCGATTTTTAATTTCATGAATTGGATTAGGCACTATATTTCTGCAGATGCAGCATCTATTGGTTTATTTTTTTAGATAGAATTGTTGTCGTCCACTTCATAAGTTTATGCCCTTCCATTGGGTATTTTTATAAATCTAGTGGAATAAAATGATTCCAAAGTAAAGTTTGGATTTACTTATCTTTGAAATTTTTGTTCGATTGGGAGCTTTGTCTTGCTGAAATTTTTGTTCGGTTGGATTATAATTTGGAATCTGAGAAGCTATGCACCTTGGCTTGGGAGTTTGTGTTGAAATCTAGTAACTTGAGCTATCTTGATTGATTCGACTCGCCAGTTTACATCTTTCCGGTATTCACCCTACTTTACGTGTCACATGAACAATTTGACATGTGGACAAATATGCAAGCATACGTGTTTTTCTATCAAAGTTTTTTTTAGGATTGAAATTGAAGGGTTTTTGTAGATTGTTGAGGAAAGGATCATACCTTTTGAATTAGTAATTAAGTATTCTTTTGTCCAAAAAAAAAGATTCCTTGTTTTGAGTATATTCAAAGAGACAACTCAATGAAAAAACCAAAAATTTTAATACTGATTTCGATCGTGTATATTTTCGTTTTCCGTAAGGATACGAAACAAAACAACTCCTTTTGCCCGTCTGGCATGGGTGAAATTTGTTCTTGAAACTAATTCTATCCAATCTTATGTATGCAATACTTTCCTCTTTCATTTGTCCTAAAACTAATTGGTGTTACGAAACGTGCATACCACTTTATAGTGCATTCAATACTTTAAAACGCCGACAAGAACACTTCTTGCAATTCCCTTTTGTACTTATCGTAAACATTAGAATCATATAAACCATGTTTTTTTTGCTCTCCATACATAATTAGTAAATGATCCATTAAGTGCTTCATGAAATAATGATTAATTTTTTTGTTTTTATCTTTCGTCGTATTTCCTTTTGACAGGTGGCTGAACGTGCACTCTTCCTGTGGAACAACGACCACATACGGAATCTAATTACTCAGAACCAAAAAGTGATACTCCCTATAATACTACCTTCTTTGGAGAAGAATGCACGTAATCACTGGAACCAGGCCGTTCAGAGTTTAACATTAAATGTGCGCAAGATATTCTCCGATGCTGACCAATCGCTTTTCGACGAGTGCTTAGCGAAATTTCAAGAAAACGAGATCAAGGAAAAGGAAATGATGGAAAGACGGGAATTCATCTGGAAGCGTCTAGAAGATTGCGCTGCTAATGCTGCTGCTTCTAATTCCTTGAGAAACGAGGCGTTGCTTGTATCTATATTTCCTTCGTCCGTTGCTATAGCTACCAGCACTAATTCAAGGGCCATTCAGTAAAATGCCAAAACTAATCCCATCATTATTATCTGATTGGATTACTCTGCATTTTGCTGCAGAAAAAAAAAAAAAGAAAACTGAAGGGTTGAAAGTTCTGTGGATATGTTGATTTATTTCCTTTTTCTTTTCTTTTTTTCTTTAATTTTTTTTTTAATTTTAATTTTTTTTTTGTTGTGTTTATTTTGTACAAGGGGGTTGGTTGAAGGTCTTGTCTTATGTTAATTTTTACATGATGTTTATGTTTACTTGGGACAAGTTTGATGCAAAAAATTGATTTTCTTTTGTAATCCAAAAATGTATTATCAGATTCTGCAATGTATGCTTTCATATGTAATATTCTCTTGGTAGGTGTCGCAGGGGTTTCTTTACTCAAGAATTTTTCGTCCGTGCGGCCTGATTTTCCCACCAAATCAGTCACCTTCCTCTCGATTCTATTCACGCACAAACACAAGTCTTTTAAGCCAATGTAAACGAGAATAGGAGTATGCAGCGGAAAACAACACACAAGCACGTTTACGGGCAATGCCCAACCTTTATATTAATTTCCCACAAAGAATACAAAGGAGACTAAGGTGCACACACAAAATCCTCACTCAGAATGCCCACAATTGCAATCTCAACTCTCTAATGCTAGATGGCTCGGATTTGTGCACTCATAGCCAAATAAATACAAGGAAGAAGGTAGTTTTCACATAAAACTACCTAAGGACACATGGCAGCACTAATACTTGACACTTGGCTAACTATTACAAGTAATAAGGGGCAGTTTTTCGTGCTTTCCATGCCTCAACCGCTCCGCAACTTCCCTCAAAATTGCCCACAAGGCTGGTTTTCGAGGCCCATCTTGATCGGGCGCGCGCGCGCGCCAAACGGCCCAAAACAGCCCGGCCGGTTGCTAGGCAGCCCATCTGCCTTGCCTTTTCCGCACGTTATGCTTGCCTTGCCCATCACTTGCTAGTTCTTTGCCCACACGGTCTTTAGCACGCCCGCACATCGGGCTGCCTTCCTTGACTTACCAATCGGTCGTGCCAACTTGTCCATACTTGTCAAGTCGTGGTCGATTTCCTTCGAACTTTCGTTTGCCCAAGTTATCGGCCACATGCCGATTACTGCCCACGCTTGTCCGCATTTGCTGCCGAGCAACACCCGTGCCAGCCATAAGTACTTTCGATCACCGTTCCCACTTGAATCAAGCCGATCCTTGCTTTCTCGGACAAACACCCCGAATGCTTGCCCAACACTCGACCACTCATGAGTGGCTGTCTTGTGCCAACTCTTGCTTGGCACCATTTCTCGGCCATGACTCGACCACACTCGAGTCATTACCGATCTCACCGACTAAGGGGGTAACAGTAGGGGTGGTAATCGAGTCAAACTAACTCATAAGCTTGATGAGTTGGCTCGAAAAAAGCTCGAACTCGAACTCGAATTTTTCGAGCTTGAGTATTTTCTTAATTGTTTATTTTATTTTTCAATTTTTATATGATAGTTTTTATTTAAATAATATATAATTTACTATAATAATAGTATGAAAAGAACATGTATAAATACAAATATATAATTACAGTTCATTCACACCCCTACCTTTTGGAAATATGAAATTACAATATAACCCCTCTTGTTACTGAAATTACATTAGTCTCCCTCAAATAAATTAACATGCCTAGTAAAATATCTTAATTGCCCTCGAGTAAAAAGAAAAGAGAAAAAAATAGAATTTTTTTTTTCAAATAACCCTCTAAAGCATGTCTAACTTATATAAACCCTGAAAGCATTCGAAACGGCCTAAGCTATTTACTTCACTTCCCCAAGTGAGTGCCTTTGACTGCAATCCGAGTTGTAGTCATCCCTAAACGAGCAAGGATAGATGGTAGAAGTGATTCCTTTGCCCCAAATTCATAAATGTTGAGCAAGAGAATGTGATTTTATTCACGCACGTTCGAATTTCGCAAACGATTACAAAATATTGTTTTTTGGTAGTATTTTATAACTTTATTTGCTAACCCTAGACGACATCTCCACCGCAAATCACTACTTTGTAAATAATAATAGCATATTATTACAAAATATATTTTTATAGTAGTATTTTATAACTACATTTGCTAAACCTAGAGGACATCTCCCATCCGCCACCAATCACTATTTCTCGTAAACAATTATAGCAAATTACTACAAATTATATTCTTTTTGGATAGTATAATTTTTTATAACTTTATTTGCACCAACCCTAGACGATATCTCTGATCGGCCGCCAATATCCTATTATTACAAAATATATTATTTTCTCGGTAGTATTTAAAAAAAAACTATTTAATTACCTAACCCTAGACAACATCTCCATTCAGAGAAAAAACCCTAGACGACATCTCTCTCCGCCGCCAACCCAATATTATTTATCAATACCAATAATAGTTATAAATACTCTTCTTTGGCATACTATTTTTCAATGAATTAAGCTCTTTCCTCCTCTCTTCATACTCTTGTCTCTCTTTTTTTTTTCACATTACCAAAAAACTAATTGTAACTAATTAGTCGTAAAACTCACCGGAAAAACACCAGTCTGCCGCCTCCTCCAGGTGATTTTACCGCATTTCCGATCCGATCAACTCTCTCGTTTCGTTTATTTTTTTGTTTTAAAAGATCTAAGCTATCTAATTAATGGAGAGGTGTGATGCGTAAGCATTTGTATCCATTAATGGCTTCTGACAGACCAAAAAATATAGATGTAAGTAATTTTTCTTCTGCTGAGCTTTAATTTCTTTTTTATTCATGATTAAATCCTCATTTTAAAAACATCAAATAATAAGTTCGTTCAAATTATTATGTTTTTTTTTACAATGTTTATTATACGGAAGAATTCCAAAATAAATAAATATATTTAATATTTTGCTTTTCTCTTAGGCAATTATTACATAAATTCTTCTTTCGACTTATTTAGATTTTTCTTTGCCTTCTGATTCCTGGAAACGAAGCATCGATGAAATCAATTCAACCACGAGGACCTATTTATACTCTTTATGATTTGAGCCCATAGTTTATCATCGAAATACATATTTTCATAAACTATTGGCTCAAAATCATAGAGAGTATAAATAAGATCTTCGTGGTTGACTTGATTTCATCGATGTTTCGTCCTCTTTTTCCTTATGAACACGAGGAAATTAAATGAAAAATTTAAGTAAGTCGAAGAATTAGTATATATATGAAGCATTTACATGCATATTGTTAAAGAGAATTGAAAAATCAAATGGTCCCTATATTCATATATATATATATTGTTATTACTTATTACCACAAACAATATTTCCGAATCCAGTATTAGTCGTTTACTACAATCTTCACGACACAAGAGATTTTTCGCAATGAAATAGCAATATATATATATTTATATATCTATCTTAAATGATGTATAACAAAGGAAACTATGTATTATTTACAAGTATTTTTCATCTTGTGTTAGAATCCAGGTATCGAAAAGACCCGAGTGTCGGAGTCGGTTGCTGAACAAATTTATGCAACGTTACATATTCATGTTACGTTGTAAATTAAACGACAAACGTGGGATTTCAAACAGGAATATGTACCGTTTCGTATATTTGTTCGACAACCAACTCTTACACTCAGCTCTTCCGATATTTTGGAGTCTAACACAGGAGGAAAAATGCTTGAATTAAATCATTAATACATATTTTTCTTTATTGTGGAGCGTTTAAGATTAGTACATCCAATTAAATAATTCCTATTTATGTTCACCTAAATATCATGCATAGTCTTTCAAATATTATATATATATATATATATATATATATATATATATATATATATATATATATATATATATATATATATATATATATATATATTGGTGTATTTTTTTGGGAAATAAATAGGAATTTTTGAAATTAATTTCAAAAATTAATTTGGTTTGGAAATAAAAAATTCCGAATATCTTTTGTATAACATCAATTACAATCCAAAAAAATTCCGAAATATCGAAAATCGTCATTTCGGAATGAAAAAAATTGTTCCAAAATCGAAGTCTAACACAGCAGGAAAAATGCTTGAAGTAATACATTTTTTCTTTGTTTGCATCATTTAAGATAGTAGTACATCCAATTAAATAATGTACACGTATTATTTATAAGAATGATGAATCGTAACAAGAGAAAATCTTAGCATTTTAATTAATTAATTCGTGTATATATATATATATATATATATATATATATATATATATATATATATATATATATATATATTTGGAAACTAATTCGGAATTTTTGGAATTAATTTCGAAAACTAATTTGAATGGGAAATCGAAAATTCTAAATATTTTTCTATATAAACTTCTATTCCAATAAAAAAAATCGAAAATATCGAAATGAAAAAAATCGTTCAAAAATCGGAACGTTTTCGGCAATGTTGTTAGAGCCGGACCGAAGCGGCCGGTCGGACCGGTTCGACTGTGACCTGGCAATAAAGCGGTCCAGTCTAACATCTAAAACCGGAAAAATCAAAAACCAGGGTCAAATGACCAAAATCCAGTTAGACCGGGCAAAACCCAAGAATCGACGGGTCAGTCAAGGAACCCGGTTTTCGGCCAAAACCTCTCGAATCACCGTTAAGTTGGTTGTTTGTGGCTAGATTTGAGCGAACCTTCACAAACTTAGTAGTGGGTGGCCGGATCTAGTCATGAGTGGTCGAAGGATTGTGGGATATGATCATGGTTGATTGAATAGGGGTGGTCGATTACCGGATTTGAAGGATAAAAAATAGAAAAATATAAAGTATAAGCAATAAAATATAGTAAAAAGTGAGGTGATGTAGATAAAAATGAAAATAATAAATGGGAGATTAAGAATATAAAGAAAATAATATTTTTAAAACATAAAAAATAATAAAATAATGGCATATAAAAAAAAAATCAAAAACCCGATTGAACCGGTTCGACCTTATAAACCCATGACCCAAATGGTCGTCCGGTTCTATAGACGGTCCGGTTCTGATAAAATTGCGTTCCGGATCAACACCGACAGATATTAGAAAATTAACCAAACTAATTAAAAATCAATAACATTAAGATACTGTTCCATCTTGGACACGTGTCCGGATCTTGACTCGGTCAACGCCAGAACCTTCTTCTCCAAGAGTTGAATCAACTGAGGCAACACGGAGCAAATAATAATATTCTGATCTTCAATATTATTTACATTATTTATATCCACGTCAATTTCCCCGCACAGTTTTCTAACGTCGATCAAAGAAACCCCATCGCCGAACCGCCGCGCATCCGCCGCCGTCAAGCTGCCGCCGCCGTCGCAGAGGCGGCGCCGGAGTTCCAAAGCCCGATTG